ATGTTAGTTCGGCTTTTCTTTCATCGGCTTCTTGTTGCAGCAAAAACGATACAAACACCTGAGCACTATATAAACAGCGGCTACAACGATGATTGACAGCAAAAGAAACAGAGCTAATACATCTAAAAGGTAAAGCTGATAAAATGGTAGATCCAGGCTTCGTGGTCTGAGGAACGACAAGTCACCTAGAGCTTGCGCGTACTCCACCCAGTCAGCGGCTGCCTCTATAGCAGAACGCGGGCGCAGCTTGATAGACCTGGAAATTCTGACAGCATTCTCGCGGTAACTGAAAGTAAACAAATGTTGGTTAGTCTTTGGTCTTTTTGATTTTCAAAGTGGACTCAAATACCCTTTTTGCGATAAAGAAAGACAAAGGCATGGACAAATCCACCATAGAAGTCTTATGACCAGCTATTAGCCGTCACGTGATTTCGCTTACCTTGGTTTGTTAAGAACAGTGTTTATTAACTTTACAAGACTCCCCTCAGTTATTGACTCCTTGTACAAAAATTCCGCCATCCCAAAGTGCTTTGCCGCCACAGAGTTGTCAAACTGGTCTCCAAAGAAAGGCACACAAATCATAGGGACTCCATGGTAAGCAGCCTCCAACATTCCATTCATTCCAGCATGGCCAATGAACAAACGTGTCTTTGGATGACCGAGAATGTCGTTCTGTGGAAGCCAGGAAGACACTTTGACGTTGTCGCCAAGGTGCAAACTTTTGCCCTCTGTATCACGGAAGGAAAGAAAAACATCAAAATTCCCAGGAGTGACGCAACTACGTACGCACGGTTTCAAATTTTGATATTCTGATTGAAGCCTTGTTGTCGTTATGACAACTAGATCAAGGCTTTAGTCTTCAAAGTAGACAGCAAAAGAATCGCTCTTTAGAAGCCAATAATGAAAGCAGAGTGTTGAGATTCCTTCTCAAACAGTACTTGTAGTCAAATACCAGCTTCTCACACGGGAGCAAAGGAAGGTAAACTTTATTAGTCCACCTTGGCTTGTGTACACTGAATTTAATAAACAGCACCAACAACAACACATCGACCAAACTCATAACTCAGTTACCTGCATCAAGTTTCCAGATAACTCTCTGTGGTAAGCTAGAAAACACAGCTGCCATTCTTTCAATTGTTTGATCGTCTATCTGAGACAGAATCGATCCAAACGACACAAGTATAACACCTTCGTCCCCAGACCCCATGACAAACTGTTGAAGATCACCTGGGAGGGGTTTAGCCGGACTTGAGAGTAATGGACCAACCAGTTTAGTATCTGGAAATAAAAAATAGAAAGGAAATAAAATTACACACATGAAGTTCTGATGATAACGTTCCCTTAGAGAGAAGCCTACCACTTGTTACTTTTGAGGAAAACATGGAGATTGCTTGTCTAAAAGCATGAGTGGTAGTTTTGCTGTTGTAAACGTAAAAAGTGATGTTGAGTTTTAATCTCAGATCACAGAAAAGGAGGGAAAACTAGAGAATAGAAGAAAAAAGGGAGAGTAAGGATTGAAATTTATTGGGTTTGTTAACTGCCTCGGTGTCTTCCCTTTCCTTTCTCATTTAAACGGTTAGCCTAAAGATAAATTTTGGATAAGCATTACCGGTAAGTTAGCTACAAAAGTGTGATTCTCACTCGGTAAATGAAACCTTGGATAATCGAGGGGATCCGATTGAACAAGGACAAGGTCAATTTTTTGGTAAGTCTCTCGGAGGGATTTCTCTGGTGTGATGTTATACTTCTTCTTTAGCGGTCCGTAGACGTTGTCTATTTTCGGAAGAACCATCAATTGATGAAATAAGTGTTGCATGGTATTCTTCACTCTCTGAAGAAAATTCATGTGGTCGGTGAATCCGGAGGTGAACTGGGGTATGTAGGACGGAAGTTGTGCAAAGTTTAACTGCAACACCGAACCGGTACTGAGAGGACTCATCAAGACTGTAACATGTGGTAAGGAGAATTTATCGGCGATCAAATACGAGCACTGGAACGCAGCATCTCCAATAACAGCATCGGAAGATTTGACTCGGTTCATGATCTCAGGGTTGCTGAGTATTGCATCGCAGTTGTCAAACCAAAACTTCATCAAGTGATCTATCTTGGTTGGGTCAAGTTTGGTGAGATCTTCTGAGCACTTGAATGTTCGTACACGGGGGTCCTTCGCAGCAAACTTTTCACAATCCCCCACAAAAATCAACACCTTATTTGGGAAAATACAAAGGGCAAAAAGCAAGTGAGCGAGTTTTTGAAAAGTAAAGAGAGTAAAAATAACTTACCACTGAGACTTTTTAAAGGGATCCTCTATCGAGTATGCGAGCTATCGTGGCGTGCAAAAGTATGAAAGCACTCGAGGAAAAACCATGACTCCTCGTTCGCACACGTCGCTTCTTAAGGCTCCATTTGATTATTTGTGCATCCATGAAGTTCTATGTGTAGCGTACCACATAAACCTTTCAGTTTATCCGATAAGCTGCTTTGAAGGATAACAATTATATTTTGTGTATCTGTTGCTTACTTTATATATTTAATATGTAATATGTTTACGGAGAGAGAGACAAACGGCGCTTCAGTCACATCCGACGAACCGGCTGTCACGGTTGCCCGGTTTTATCTTCTCTGATTGACTTGCATTACTGCTTCTTATCATCCAATCAGAGAGCGGAAACAGCGTGACAGCTTCAATTACTCAAGCCTAAGGTAGCGATTCGTCACACTAAATCGCTCATTTCTCCATATTTTTCTTTAGACTCGGCTTGTAGAGGCTTAGAATAATTTTTAAAAAAATGACCTGATATAAAAATCTCAGTGTTTAAACTGGACGGGAGCGCGGTTTGGGAACCGTGGAACGGTAATTTTTGGTTGATTCCGGCGCCGAATTAACAACTGTGGGCCACTTACCCTAACTAAGCGAAGTAAGTTGGATATCGAACCAAAAAATTTACTAAACTCATAAGTTGTAATGAAATGTGATCTCCATGAACATTTATACTTCACCTCATGACCTCTGCTTTCCAATTCTTCTCCTATCCTCGCAAGAACTAAGTAGTGACTCCGACCCACCATAGGAAACATCGTAAACTTTGCAGCAAAGCAGCTAGTCTGAAGTGCGAGCAAATATACAAAGCTGCAGAGGAGCGAGAGAATTAATAACCTCATCTTCGCTTAATAAATGCTAATTTTGTGTACCGTAGAATTTCACAACTGAAGTTAGATGGTCAATATGGCGTGGGTGCTCCAAATAGTGTTACTTTACGTAAATATGACCTATTTGGTCACGGTTAAAAGGGATGAACCGAAAGGACCTCATTAAATATTCAAAACACTGACGTCAGACGAAGTGTAGTTCAGTGCTGAGTAATCAGTGCAAATTGCATTACATCAATTATGCGTAACAAGGGACGAACAGGAGCCCATTATTGCTCCTGGGGACGAATAAACCTTCAAAGTTGAACTGTTATGAGGATCCTCCTTTTTAATCGATACACAAAAGGCAAAACCGATCACGTTGAAGGATCGATGTTAGCTTAAAAAACAAACAAACAAAACAAACATCCAAAAAAACAATAACACGATTAAAATCTACTTCGTGGTGTCATCCGCACTCTCCTTGATTCTCCTTTCTAGCACCCTCCCCTCCCCCTTTTGACAGTAAAAGCTGAATCTTTCGGGCCCAGTCCGTTCTTTGAAAAAAACAATTGCTCTACTGAACCGTCTACGGCTTTCCCCTATGAGGTGATCAATAATTGTGTCGAGGGAAGGGGGGAGGGGGAACAATAGCCTCTTATAGATGCTTGGAACACATAACTAAACGAAAACAAGACAAACTGTTCATAGCTATGTACAACTGATAACTAGACAGGAAATTATCACTAATTTGCCAAAATATTTTATTTATTTGAACTTCAAAAACGTAACCAGTAGGAACATGATTATACGAGGGAAACTCACGCAAACCTTATAAAAATAATTCAGTGAAGCTTATATCAAACTTCGTCAGACTGTAACGAGCTCCTGATTCCCGACTCCTCTCGTATTCTGAAGATAGATAAAATCTTCACCTAATTAGTGAACCTTAGTCAAATATTCTTAACCAAGTATTCTAAATATTCATATTTTTCTAACAACTTCTGACTATTAGACTCTGAGATGAATTCTTAGATTTCATCAGTTTTATTACTTTGGATAAGTCGTTATTGCTCAATCAGTTCTGACCGAAAAAGTATCAAATTCACTAAAGTTTCAATGGCAAAGTAGAATTTATCGAGAAACTTGTACCATTTCCTTCAAAACGACAAAATCTCAGTCTCTGGTTACAAGTTAAAACATTTTGAAGACATCAAATGTTTGATTACTTTTCTGACGGATGTTGATATTTTGACTCATAGTTTATATCTCTCTTCTAAAGAAAAAAAATAACTTAAGAAGCTAAAACCTTTTCTAATCATCAGCTCTACGTCTAACGCACTACTGCAAATCTTTTGCACCATTTGGTTGGCAAATTTTCAAGGAAAAAAAAAACTCTGAATGACCCTTTGCTACGTCTTTGGCGGATCATCATCGGCGACTCTCCACTCCCTCCCTAATTTTTAAAAGCGTAACATTTTCATTATAAAATTATAAGAAATGAAACGATCGCTTAACTACTCTATAAAGGAACTCTTGAGGACGTTGCCAACGTAGACGTAACATCTGTCACTCATCGTAAGTCTTCATCATCGCTCCAGGCTCTCTTTCTCCTTCTACCACCTACCCCCCACCCGTCGTCTGCCCTAGACCCAGACCCAGACCCCGCAGAGCCGGATCCTGATCCATCACCACTTTCCCAGCCATCTCCTGAACCGGATCCTGAGAATTCTGTTAAACATTAAAAACCAAGTTTGAGAACCGAAGAATAAGGACTTGTAAGCACCACCACCAACACAATACAGGAAGTACTCCATCTTGCCGGACACATCCTAATGGCAATGAGGTACTGGTCTTTATTTCTTGCTTGGGGAGGGGGAGGGGAGGGGAGGGGAAGGCTGTCGAAGGAGTTTGCTTGCGTCTTAAGAAAACTTACCAGATTTCCAGATCCCCCCATAATGGTCTGAGGTATTCTGACGATGCCCTCCTCATTGGCAGTCAATAATCCAAAGTGACCCATAACTTAGGCTCATCAATAAATAAAATAAATAAATAAATAAACTAGGACTAACATTTATTATAATGTAATCTTCAAACAAACCTTCTCGGCATTTTTGTTCCCTGCAATGTTTTATATCAAGTCTTTCACTTTCTTTACACATTTGGCCACCATACTGAGGTTTTGGTGAGTCACACTTTCGCTCACGTTGTCTTGTTCCAATTCCACACGTCAAACTACATCCTGACCATGCGCTCCAATCGCCCCAGCCCCCGTCAACTTAAAAACATAATCGATATAGTTCATTTCGATCTTAAGTTTTACCATTGATTTGCTGGTTCTCGAACTTAGATCTAGTCCCCAGGCCCTCGATACTACTCACTACAATCTCAGGGGCTCCCCCTACCTCATTGCAGTTGCCTTTACCTGTGACCGAGTACCTAACAAAACAAATTTTCTAATAGTGGTGCTAAACTATGGAACTCACGCCCTGAAGACATCCGATTGTACGAAACTTAATCATCACTTCAAACAAAAATTAGCACTTACACCTTCTTACCATCTTAGATTCACGTGATTATTTTTTAAACGTAGTGATTCGGATTTTAAATTCAGTATTTCTAACCATAGGTCCCTAACTGTGGAAATCAGCTCAGTTGACAGGGCAAGCGTGTTTTACTTACTTACTAAGCGTTGACCCTTTCTTGTTTTTCACAGTCAATTAAACCTTCAAACCTTATCCCTGTAGCATCCAAAACCATGTGCTTGTTCTCAGTAGTTAACAAAACGACAAAATCAAAATCATTGAAACTCACTCGGGCATTTCTCTTGTTCCATACAAGATCTTCCATCTTCCAGTTTCCCCTGACACTCTTTGCCATTAAACTGCGGAGGAGGATTGGTACAGGTCCTAGTTCGTATTTGTGTGCCATTCCTACAAGTCACCGAGCACCTTGTCCAGTTACCCCAGTCAGACCAACCACCATCGACTAAGAATGAAATAACAAAGGAAGGAAACCTGTAAACTCCCTTAAAAATTAGTGAAGGAAGTTAGAAAAAAAGAAAAACATCTAAAAAGGAAGGTGAGAAGATGATCATGTGAAATTTCATCAGGGACCTCCATTGCCAGCCAGGAGGGTCGGGCGTCTTTGGAGGTGGTACGGATCAGTGTTGGTTTTGGTACCAATCGCTGCGCCATCATCTTTGACAAATTAAATTATTCACAACCTTTTTTCTGCGAAATCAAATATTGTGGCGAAGAGATAAAAATACTTTCGCACAAATGGCTACTTCATCATTACAATCACAAAGTATAACCTGATTGGCGATGGAGTGATGTTTTGGCACGAAATACTGAAAATATCATTAGTGAAATCGAACCCTCATAAACAAGCTCTGCGTCTCGGATAGAATTGATTGATCTTGAAAATAATTTTAATCGCAACGGAAACTTGAATACCGTGTCGATGGTTTGGTCGGTTCTTGTTGTAAACATAAACAATATGTCTGTCTGTCTATCGGGCAGTTGATGTGTCTTTCTGTAGGTGTGCTTGTCAGCAGTGCCTAACACATATACAAATTTTCATTGAAGTTTTCATTGCAAATTGATTAGTTGTCAACATCAAACGAAAAGTGACAAAATTGTGATATCACCTGTCTCTCCCCTTCCCTAATAAATACTTGGAACCCTCCCACCCTTCCCTCAACACATACTTGGAACCCTCCCACCCCTCCCTCAATACATACTTGGACAGGGTGGTGTCTTGCAGCGTTTCCATTCCTCTCCAGATCCCTTGCAGTTTGGCTTTCCCTTAGAGATGCATGTTCTGTTACGGACTTCAAATGAAGGACCACACGTCGCGTTGCATTTACTCCACGCATTCCAGGGTCCCCAGTAACTTGTTACTAAGAAAAATGATTTTAAACAATTCAAATTCATTCCTAAGAGATGACATTACTACCTTTACTCATTTTATGATCGTAAACTTCAGTTATCCAGTAAAAAGGTTAAGTACCGTATTTCCTCGAATAAGCGCCCGTGTGTTAATTTGAAATTTCGGCTAAATTGGGGGGCGCATGTCGGAAGGAGGGTGCTTAATCGAGAGGGGCACTTATTTAGAAATTATTAACCCACGCTGATTACGTTTGGTTGAAGCTTAAAAAGTTACAGATAAAGTGGCAATAGACACAGTTTTTCCTTGTATCCTTACCATTTAAGAAAGTAAGAGAGTAGAGAGGGGAGCACCTATTCGAAGGGGGTGCTTGTTTGATATAATGGCCTTAGCAGTGGGTGCTTATTCGGGGGAGGGCGCTTATTAGAGCGTGGGCGCTTATTCGAGGAAATACGGTATTCATTGGAGTCCACCCGAGCGTGGCGAGCTGTTACTTTGACATATTTTTTCAGTGGCCTAAATGTTCTTAATTTTAAACCTGGATTTCTGTAAAAAGTTTGCATGACAAAGTTTGTATTTGTACATCGATGAAACATGCACGAACCATGGTACAACTCCGCTGCGCACCTGTGGTGCCAGTGTTGATGGTGACAAAAAACATTTCCAGAAACAGGACAAGAAGATTTGACAACAGCTGATGCAATCACACGTCACGAACTAGTCGCCTTCTCCATCAACGCTTTATTTTTGTTCCTCATCATATCTTTTTGGTTCCTCATCGTATTTCTTCGTTATTACACTCGCTAAAACTAGTCGTGATTATAGACCGTATAGTACCGCAACGTCCATTAAAATTAAAAACTGTTTTTTTTTAAAAAATCCCTTGTTATTGTCGCCAATTGTTGTTTTTTTTTCTTAAATGGTGTGTCAAAACGTGTTAATGACATAAATTGCTGAAAAACAATTTCGAATTAAATCGTTTGCCGTTGGACGTTCGTCAGATAAAACCGGCCGTTCCGCGTGAAAAGAAAGCGTTTCCCCAATTAATTCATTAATTGCACGCAGTTACAGCCTGTATTACTTCCAGTCGCAAATATAGTTCCCAACTGAAGCCCAATTTACCTTTATTAGAAGTCTTACAAGGCTCACATCTTGTTCTGTCTTTTTTTTTAGAGCTCCATCCTCCGCCGCCATTTGAGCAACAATCGCCTTTCAGTTGCTTGAATACTTTCATTCTTTTCTTGCATTCTCCAGTTTTTTGGTTGTACCTCTGGAAACAAAATCCTTGCCCGGCAGGACGTTTTGCTTCTGCAATAAAGGGAAGTGAAACTTAATATATCGCATAACAACGGGATTAACTGAAGACATGTTTACGGCAACTGTTTCATTTATTCTAACACTTGACTCAATCTACTCGGAAAATGCTCTCTCGTTCAACAGAAATGCAAACATCACTAAATTAGCCAATTATCAAGAGGATATCAACACATCCTCTTGCCAATTATCTAATGCGGAGTTTGTTTTCTTCCAAATTTACAATTTACGCCCCGTTCCTTTTTTTTTTAAGAGGGTAAGTGGCGATTGTGAACGGGCTAATTTGCAAGTAGCAATCACAACCCAAATCAGGGCGTGAAATTGCGCCTAATACAGGCGCCAATGCGACTAAATTTTTCACTTCAGTGGGCGACCAAATCTTGAAAATTAGTCGCCAAAATGGCGACCAGAATGTTTCATCACAACCTTACCGAGAGATATAGTGAATAAAAAAGATTTGCAAAGATAAATCCGCGGCAAACTTCCTCGTTAAGTTTGTTTCCAAAACTCAGCACACGCATCTCAATCGATAACCGGACACCATCTTGGATTTAGGTGAGCTTTAACGTTGTATATCATCCATCCTAGTGTCCAATTTGTAAAAGGTTAGAGATCTTTTCCCTAAGTTAATTTTGGAGGGTCTATCTAGAACGTTGACAGCGTGAAAAAAGGTTTTGTTTGTCTTTGAAAATGGCCACCGACTTTTTTTGAATTGGCTACCACTTTGAAGAATTTAGGAGCCAAGTGGCTACCAGAAAAAAAAAATTAATTTCACGCCCAGCAAATTGTGTTCTGCTCCATTTCCGTTTGCTCTTCATTTCTCCTTCTCCTTGATTGCAACTATTAGACTGAATGCAACTGAATATAGGATAAATTAATAAAGGGGGTAAGTTTCTAAAGAAACTGTGGTACTACGTCGGTAGGAGAGTGTAGCAGGTAATTTAGTGTTAACAACTAGGTTGACGAAGGGCTAACGCTCGAAAGTGAGCTTTTTTGCTCTTTACGGTGACCAATTTACGTTTTCAAACTAGTTGTTTACACTAAATTACCTGAATATAGGATACTAAAGGAACTGCTCATTTGTTTGAGGGTCTTGGGGAAGTTTATCTTTTTTTGCTTAGAGTCTCTGCTTGAAAAGTGGGTAATGAACTCGAGAGACACAAAACGTTTCTTCTGCCCTTGGTGCATTTTAAAACAAAAGAGCGCGAATTTAGAAAAAAGTATTTCGCCATCTTTTTTCGAGCCACCATGTTTAATTTGAATTTGTATGATTAGCTGAGTTACCCGCGCATTTTTAGTGACTTATAGGAAGAAAGACGCATAGATGACGTCATGATTAACACTTTTTTTTGCTTCTTTCTCATATAAAACAAATCGATTCCATGTTGCCGTGGGTCTGTAAAGTGATAGATCACAGAAAACATCAAAACGTGGCAAAAACCTTGCAGGTAGGAGCTTGGGGAGGAGTGTCGAGAAGGCTCCCTTCCCTCCCACCCATACTCTGGCCTATCCATCGTCTTCCCCCTAAAGAATTTTATTTGTCTCCAAAGATCTCTGATAGCTATAGAGCTTTTAATGGTAAGAGTAATATGCCTGCAATCTCGATTAACTATAAGTGAGCTGAGATCAATCATCCAAAGATTACGTTTGAAATTTAAAAATAACTATGAGCGAATGAAAAATTGTATTATCTTGCAGCAATTTTCAATGTTAACTGCAGTTTTAGCCCGTCATAGTTAATGTTAAGTGTCCCAACTAAATTTTAAAGCCTTTGTATACCTTTTCAAGAGATCTACAAGCATTAAAAATATTTTGATAAGGTCGTCAGGCATTGTCAAGATTTCCGCGGATTACAAAATTAATCATCTTAATGATTTTAGGTCAAACAGGCACTGGCTTAACCTGAATTCCTAAATTTAACCATCCATGGCATTCCTACTTTAATCAATTGCTTTTTTGTTCACTTCCTCAGCTTTTGAGGCCGTGGTTGCGGCTGTAAAGTAACCGCTTGTGTTTTTAATTTCATTGGTCTTTTTTAACCGGGTGACTGTATAATAGCAAAGGGAAAGAGCAATTTAATACAAGGAAATGTAATAAAAGCACAAGTTATGTTTTTGCTGAAACGTGCCTCTGGCGTTAAGTCTTTTAAGGACTTATAAGTTCCTCTTTGCAATACAGGAACTTATCACTGTGTTTGCTGAATCAACAATGGCAAGAGAGAAGACAGCAGACATTCAATATTTTTGGCAAGAAACGTTGAAACTAAAAATATGTTAAAATAGATGCTTTGCTTCTTAATTCGTCCAGAAATTGATTTAAAATTTTCAACACAGTTTTCATTTATTGGTGACATGGTCGAAGGAGATATGTCACGAGGCATTTAGAGTCCGAGAGAATTGGCCAAGAATGAATGGAATCATTATGTTGACACACAAATTACTGTGGAAAAACAGCAACGAAGTGGATTGAATCAATAATAAAAACAATAATTGCAAAGACGAAAAACGAGATTCCTTAGATCCTCAAGAAGGACAAGCCATTGGCATTGTAACTTTAAGGTCGAGACCTCAATTCCTGAGTTAAATCGTTCCGGTTTGTTTCATGGCTACACAAGTTTTGATGTGATACGTCAGCGTTCACCTTCAATTTTCCGATTTGGTAGTCGATGACAAGTAGTTACATGCACGGTGCATTAGGAAAAGCCAAAAATATGCTTCGTGTTCCGCGGTAAAAATAAGCAGTTCAATGTACTATGATCATGAGGCAAAGCAGGTTTCCATTAAGTTTGTTTTAGCTACGAAATGCCCCAATTAAAAATACTAACTGATGACTCTCGCAAAAGGATCCAGTCCCTGTCAGGTACAGTGATCCCTGATGAGTAGAAAATTACTGAAAAAGGAGTTCAAGTTTTTCTGGAACCTTGCCGGTTGCTTGGGATGAATTTGATACCAGGGAATCTTTCTGGCAGAATAATACAATTGGCTAGCGGCCACGAATCGGTCCATTTCTGGACTTTATAATTGTTTAAGTCCCAGATCATCTTTTCTTCCTTACGAGAAGGATATTTTATATAGCTAAATGAGCGAGCGAAATAGATTTATCTGCTTAATGAAAAACGTTTGTCGTTTGAAGAAAGCTTCGAGCTCATGAAAAGAAGACAGAATATGAAACTTTCTGCGAATGAGGAGGGGGGGGGGCTATTTGGCCTAAATCTTGATACGGGAGAGTGGGTGACAGTTTGAAAAAAATCAGTGTGCAATCCATTTTAGGACGAAGAAAAAAACTTAGGGACCACAAACCCTGCAATAAGTCTGATGTGATAATAGGAAACCAGTTATAATTCTCAGAATTGAGAGCAAAGGGAAGGTGTCGGAACGCGACGACAGAATGAGATCCTATTGAGGTTGGTGAAAGCAATCTTTACTCTAATATCGGCCCTCCAGAACCGGTATTATTTTTTGCGTTTTTCAGGCAAACAGAGGCAAGCGCCAGGCGAGCGCGAAGTGCAAGTCACACATAGATGAAAGGAAGAATTTTCATCGTTTCAACCGTCCGTCGGAAAAGGTCATTATGTACACCGTCCGATACAGGACTGTCGTCTAAACCCCCCCGGAAAATACCTTGCTCAAGGCGAAATTGAGACGACCCAGATTTATTAATTACGTTAAAGTTACATACCTGAAGTTTGGAGAAAGAAGCAGATACTCAGAGCTACCGCCGTCACCAAAACTACCAACTTGACCATTTTTTAATATAGCTTGTGGTGTAAATGTTCTTGAGAGATTTGAGGGGCGAGCTGCAAACAGTTGCAGGGGAGATGAATCGATGAACCAAATCTGCAGCAAATTCAATTAAATGTTGACCCTTAGTGTTGAAATAAAGCTAATGAAATCTTAAACCTGATGATATGATGATAAGGACCTTTACTGATTCAGTTGAATCGACAAATATCGGTGCAGATACGCTGGATCGTTCAGTTCTTTGGCGAGCTGAACTTTGGTTATAAGTGTTTCCTTTTTTTTTCCCTTCTGTTGTTCGGCTGGACCATTATGCAATGCATTTTATTAATTGCACAATCAAGGTATAGTCCTAGGAGCAGGGAAAAATCTTAGTCCTCTACTTTTTATTGCCTTCAACTTTGATATCGGGCGATGGTAAAAGCAGGAAAATATGAAATTAGATATTGAGGAAATTATAGTTCAAGTTCTAATCTTGCTGAAACCGGGCTCCAGTTTTAAGTTCCTCTTTGCCCTACAGGAACTCAAGTGCCTGTTAACGTAATTTGGTATGTTTACTGAACCAATAACGGCACTGAGAAGAAGGGCATGCTTAGAATGACTCAAGTTTTGATCATGCTAAAACCAAGCTCTTGTTCTAAGTTCCTCTTTGCCATACAGGAACTCAATTGCTTGTTAATGTAATTTACTATGTTTACTGAACCAACAACGTCACTGAGAAGATGGGCAGATTCTGAATACGCGCGAAAGAATCGTTAAAGACGCTATCTGGATTGCCTTTTCGCCTAATAGGGGATTTGACTGCAAATTCTACCATATCTTTGTGTGAAGCAAAGCGAAAGATCATTGAATGCATCATTAAGTGAAATAAGTGTGCGTTAAAAGAGATAAAAGATTTCTGATGTTTTCTCGCGTGCTCCAGTGCTGACAAAGACAAAACAAAGGGTGATCTTTTTATGATGCCGAAGAAAATCTTCGCAGACATTACTGATTATTGTTGGAACTTTATGTGGCACGCGGTGAAAAACGCCAAACGCCAAACAGACTTAGAAACGGCGCAGCTAGAAAAAAATTTCATGCTTATGACTTGAAATAACGGAAATAACAACGCTACCAACGGTGTACCAGTTACTTGTTAGCTAAATCGAACACAAGCTACTAGAATAATCAGGAGAAAGAGATTGACTACTCACTAAATTTCCCTTTGTGAGAGCGTTTCAGTCATAACAGATTTTCCTCAACAACTGAGCCTTCTATGATCCTTCAAAACGATTCATAGAGTGAGCGACGTCATTTTTACATCACATCCCGCTGTGCTGAAGCGTGTGAAGGGTCGAGATTTACATCCAATTGGACGATACCGAGGTCAGAAGCATGAAAGGAAATTCAATCTATTGTTTCCTACTCATCACCTCACTAACTAAGCAGAACCTACGCTTCAGCCGTTCCGGGAAAAAAACTCTTGAACGTTTCTGAGATAGTAACGGAGTAATTCCTCAGTATGGCGGATATTTTGATCACGTCTCTCTGGGGCCACGCACGCTCATTGGTCGATGTCAGACTGTGAATTAGTCTATCCAGAGATAACAGGTTTATTTTGAGGTAATTCTAAAAATATCAATGAAAACAGACTTCAGTGCTAACCGATAAATCGAGAAGTACTAATACTTGTCAGACGGACTTTAAAGACGTGCGCACTGCTACTCAGAGCTCGCTGCAAAAAACATTTCACTCATGTTAGTAGCCTTAAAAAATTTCCTCCTTCAGGCAATTCACCACGGGATAAAACATGTACTGAAAAAGGTCAAATAATAAAAATTTCTATTGTTTAAATACCGTGACCAAGTGCCAACTTCCTTCGGTTTTATCTATCAATTAAAAATGGCATTTAAATCTTTCACCACTAAATCGCTTAGGATTCCTCTTAGGTATTCCCCGAGGAACTCAGCAAGGATAAAGGAATAGAAATGTGTTAAATTTATCTACAAAAGTTCAGTCTCCTTCAATCAGAGTAATTGTTTCAAGGCGTTCATTTTTACCTTGGGTTAACTGGATCTAATCGTTAGTGGTTGAATTCCGAGTAAAAAAAAAAAGATTTCTTCAACTCTCATCAGATCCTTGCTAGACCGTGGGACCATCTGCTTAACTCATCTACTACAACCATTGTTCGATACATTTTTCATCGGAATCTTTCAAAACACACTTCATTCGATAATGTGGACGATACTCGCACTAACAGTTTCCAGACGTGGGGAGGCGGGTACTCCAACTAAATTTGTGGCCACAGCCGGTGTCGGAAATGACAAACGAGCTATCAAAAAGATTTGTGCACAGTTTTACGGGGCATGTAGTAAAACATGTAAATAAAAGACTTCATGTCGAGCAAACATTAGCCCAAGTTTCAAGTTTTCATCCTCTTATTTACTGCAAGAATAACCTGTCCAGTCGTGCCTTAGACATCTCTACCAAGCGGATCCCAAATTAAAATTAGACTGATTTGTTGAGTGAAACCTATATTGAGCTGAATACTTTAAAGGAGAAAATCAAGTTTCGTTTCATCCGATTTAAGTTTAAATTGACGTATCGTCTTCATCTTTAAAGCGTTTATTCGGAGAAATAAGCTGATGTTATTTCATTTACCTGAAAGGGGAAAATTCCTAAGGTTTCCGATTACTCGCTCCGTTCTTAACTTTGTGGATTTTGACATTAAACTACCATGAAACAATTTTGTGGAACTGTTTAAAGCGGACGCCAGCAAGAGTTCTGTTGTTATTTAATAAGAACATGAACCATTGGAGCTTGTTACAACTTAAGAACAAAGGGAGAAAATCTTACTCCACTCCCAATAATCACCCCGTCGTTTTCAAAATTTTTCTCTCTTCCCTTCCTGTTCGCTCGCCAGGCGAAAGAAGAACTTTCCTCAGTACGTAAGTTTTAGGCCTCGAGGTCAAGTATCAACTGAAGTTCCTAGAAGCATCATTTACGTGTCAGCAATTAGGGTTCTTCTTGTCTTGGCCCTCAGCCAAATCTTTTGAAGGATTTAGTTCCTCATCCCCAGTCTAAAAACCTTCAAATAAGGTGTAATGAGCTGAACAATAAAACTGCCTTCCATTCAGGCACATAAATGGATAACTGCCATACATGTTACTTTTTAATTAAAATCTTCCCATCGCATATGATGTAAACAGTCGTGAATATCTGATAACTGCACTTTTCATCGTTTAATTATGTTCGTACGCATGCGATTAGGTTAAGCGTGTTGTGTTACCGAATATGCCTAGCTCATGTGAAATGAAATCGGCCAGTACACTGTGGGTACCTTTACGAGTGAATTTCCCATTTAGATTAGATATTTAAATCGAATTAAAACAGTAATTAATTTAGTGTTATGGCAACGGTAACAACCCTGAGTCACAGGAAGGGCAAAAATGAAAACATTTCCTTTAACGCTTGTTTTTCCTATATATACCTATATATACCTTTGTACATTATAAAATGGGGAATTTTTTATCAAGAAGAAGGCCGTAGTTATGCGATCATTCTATCAATTCGAAGCTTCAACGATTTCCCCACGGGGAACCGCCCGGGCATTTGAAGTTTTGAAGATTGGTTAAATCAGATTCCCTTCCTCCCCCGGGTAAAAATTCCATTCAAATGCCCGCTCAAGCACAATTTTTGTGCGATCAACGAATGTTGTAGAATTTAGCGAAATCGTGTATTAGTTTTTGATGCCGCTGTTTACTATGTGAAAATCTTCTTGGAAGCCATTTTCTCACGAAAGCGGACTCTTCTTTTTAACTCCTTCCTACTTAAAATTAAAATTTGTGTATTGCGCTGATTCAAATTCCTTAACCCTGGGGCACAAACAACAGTCAAATGCCCGTAAGTCAGACCGGGAGGAACTCTGAAGCTTCGAATTGATCAGCGCATAAATTTAGATCAACTTTCAGACGTAGGAATAAACGTAAAGAACTACCTAACGTACATATCGATTCAGTATATTAATATTTATGCTTCCCGTTATTTCTAGTTTGCCAAGTAAGCTTTTAGTATGATCGGATTATTATGATCTTCTTTGCATAGTTCTTAGAATTTAGCCGGCCGGCGCCAAGGGAATTAAAGTATTTAGTACCTTGAGCTATGAACGTCATTGCTCGATTTTGTATCATTAACAAAAAGATTCTATATTTCCGCGCGTCTGTCCAAGAATAGATCACAGAGATGACGTCAAAAATGTGATAAGAACAAAAAAAAGGGAAACGCGAGGCGCAGCAACATGACAGAGTGCTGGGGGACCTACCTTCCTAAAGGGCCTTTTTTTCGTATCGTGGCCTCGTTGCTTCATGTGTCGAAACTGAGACGAGCCCCAGCACGTTTTTTGGTAGCAAATGTTTTGCTATCCGATGACAACTTTTAAGGAAAGTAAATTATAAAATAGTATCCCGTCTAGTAGTCCTTGTGCGTCAGCATGGAGTGTATGTCTGAGGAGAATTGCAGCAGGAAGCATGAATAGTGTGAGTGGAATTTATATTAAATTGAAACATAAGCAGAGGTATCATATCAATTTTTACCCCTGAGTGACATGTGCGTCTGGTGTAGAAGGGAATTTCGTCAGTCACATGATGTTGCCAAGGTGTTGCTTGATGGTCTTAGCCCTTTAAACCCTAAGATCAGTATCCATATTCTCTATACTCTTCTCTATACATTTCCCTTGGTAATGACCAGGAGAATTTGTTTAACAATCAAAGTTTCTAAGGTTGGTAATCATTTCCTTTATTATTACCATGAATTACCATGATCTTTATTAAAGATTTAAAAGTGATTACTGTAAGGAGAAATTAGACGCTGGTCACTCCTACGGTTTTAAGGGTTAAAACAGGTTTGCAGCCAAGAAAAGGTAGAATCATACAGGCACAGCTCTGCTACTACCTATGAATTAATTAATATAATCGCATGGAGAGTTCCATTGTGGAGTATTTTAGCCTCTAAAATTGAGATAGAACCTAAACTGCTTCAAACAAAATTAGCCAAGTCTCTGTATCAGCTACTAAATCAGTTTTGCATTAGCAGATTCAATCAAAGATGGCCGCGGACCTGTTTCCGACGGAACGCGAGTTTAGTAGACACAGGGTCATTGGTGCGTTTAAGAATCAATGGATTTCTTGACTGGGAAGACAAAGAAAGATGGCACAATCGAGAACAATGAGAATGAAAAGTTGAAATGTCGTCGAAAACGTTAGGATCGAGATTCAGTTTGAACACCAAATCGCCTTCTAAAATGCAGTGGAACGTACTGAAGGGTTAGAATAAAAAAAAAAAAAAACGAACGGATGATTAGCACGTTTGATCTTAAACTTACGTGCTCCATATTCCAGGCCGTAACAAGACGAGTAAAAAAAAAAACAACATGTACGTCCAAATGGTTAGTTACATCGCCCCAGGTATACCGAAATGAAAACAGCTCATTATTGTTCGAATCTCACCAATTCTTCGTGGAAGGTAATAGACCATGGTCATTATTCCACCAACAGTTCATCGAAGAAACATCTAAATATCCGTAAGACTTAATCGATGCAAAACAGACTGAAAATGCCGAGTCTTCCTCACGATGTCTTTAGTCAGCTTTGTGCTCAGGGCTGTGCTACAAGTAGTTAGACATGACTTTCTTCATCCAAGACGGTCAGTTGAGCAACAAGTGTGGAGGAGCCATAGAGACTGAGGCAAGCCCTAATTAAGCTCCAACACTCATCACGAAGAAAGAAAACTTTTTTTATTTTTTTATTTAATGAATAAACCTTTGAAAAGAGCAGAATTTATGAGTCGATTTAGAAGTCTTCTTTGGCCGTAATAACGGCCGCCATACTCACGTGCCCGCAAATATGTATGACACATGTCATATTCGATTTTT